ATTGGAGAGTGTCCAAAGGAGGGAACGAGGATGGGGAAGGGCCTGGATTTGAAGGCGTGTGAGGACACTGAGGGCACTTGGTGTGTTCAGCTGGAGCAGAGGAGACTGAGGGGAGACCTCCCTGCAGTTCCAACTGCCTGGGCAGGGGCAGAGGAGGGGCAGGACTGAGCTCTGCTCTGGGGGGAGCAGGGACAGCCCGTGGGGAATGGCTGGAGCTGTGTCAGGGCAGGCTCAGGGTGGATCTCAGCAAAAGGTTCTTCCCCCACAGGCTGGTTGGGCACTGAACAGGCTCCCCAGGGCAGTGGGCACAGCCCCAAGGCTGCCAGAGCTGCAGGAGGCTTTGGATGATCCTCTGGGGCACAGGGGGTGACTCTTGGGGATGGGGCTGTGCAGGGCTGGGGGTTGGACTGGATGATCCTTGTGGGTCCCTTCCAGCTCAACACATTCTGGGATTCTGTGACTCTGTGAGGGCAGCCCTCCCTCTCCTGCACATGTGGTCCCACTTTAAAGCCTCCCACTCAACATTAGTTGCATTTTCCATTCCCCAAGGCATCATTTCATAGAGATGTAAAACAAGAATGTTGTGACCTTGGATCCGATGGACTTGGGTAAATTTTTTATTTAACTGGAGCTTTCCAGCAGCAATTTAGCAAATCTTTACCCAGAGCAGAAAAATCCACTTGAAAGAGGTACCAAAAAAGGTGGAAGCTTTTTCTTTTGCAATCCTTTAGGCATTTCTATTCCAGCTGCATTTCACCAGTCCTTGAAGGAGGCTCTCAGCTCTCTCAGAAGGAATTTGGCTGCCTTCGAAAAGCCTGAGTCATGTATCTACGCTCCAGCAGCGTTCCTGGGGTTTGAATGCAACATTCCTACCTTTGAATGAATGTTCAGTGTATCCTCTTTTGCTGGAGCAGTGATGTGCGAAGCTCACCCTGGGGGAACGTTCTCCATACATTGTTTTCTGTTCAGGCAGCTGCTGTGGAGCTGAACCTTTTCCTGTTCCCTCCCTTGTGTTTTTCCTTGTGACTCTCATGCCAAGGCTGCACACACCAGGTATTCTTGGAGCTCTTGTCTTTTAGCTTTCCAGATCAAAGTAATTTTGTGAATCATCTGGACTTTTTGTGACTTGATGCATCCTCTGGAAGGCTGCTCAAATTCCAAAGCACTTGGCAGGTTCCTGCATCTTATTTCTTCTCTCTTGAGATACTTGAGTCAGGATCATCCAGTGCTTGTATTGCACTTCTCAGTGCAGCCCTGGGCAGGCAGCTCCCACTGTTCTCCCTTCTCACCTCCCTTCCTTTGTCAGGAGTTGGGGTGCCAGATGTCATTCCACCCTGTACACAGTGCCAGGCATTGCTCCTGAGGGATAACACTGGATAAGCCTGCAGATCCCCTCTACAATTATTTCATTTTTTCCTAATTTAGTTTCTAATTCGTTTGAATCAGCAAAATCACAGCTAAGTGGAGCACAAGTCTGATGAGGAGCAGCTGAGGGAGCTGGGGGGGCTCAGCCTGGAGAAAAGGAGGCTCAGGGGGGACCTTCTGGCTCTGCAATCCCTGACAGGAGGGGGGAGCTGGGGAGTGTGGGGGGGATCGAGCTCTGCTCCCAGGGAATAAATGATGGGACCAAAGAAAATGGGCTCAAATTGCACCAGGGGAGGTTTAGGTTGGATATTGGGAATTAAAGGGTCATCAAGCCCTGGCACAGGCTGCCTGGAGAAATGGTAGAGTCACCATCCCTGGAAGTGTTCAAAAAAACATATATGACATTGAGGACACTTGCTGAACATGGTGGTGGTGCTGGGGTGAAGATAATCCTGGAAGCCTTTTCAAACCTTAGTGAGTCTGTGATTCTGTGATAATTAACTGATTATTTCCAGTGGAATCTGCCTTTTCTGAACAATAGCAGATGGGAAAACTTTTTTCTCTTGGCAGAGCTTTTGTAGAAGAAAAGCTGGGCAGCAAATACGTGACTGGGAGATCCCTGGATTTTGCAACAACCTTTGAGGAATCAGGACCTGCAACCCCAGTGTTTTTTATCCTTTCCCCAGGAGTGGACCCACTGAAGGATGTGGAGAAACATGGTAAACAAATCCTGTCTCTAGGCATAGCATAGCTTTGCTTTTTATCTGCTGCATCTTAGCATGACACTCCTGTTTTGTTTGGGCTTTTTTTCCTGATCTCTTTGTAGATAATGAAGTAATCTATTAAAAATAGATAATTGTGAGAGGATTGGTTTGGGGCTTTTGTTTTGATTTTTTTTTTTTCCCTTAATTTTTTTTTTGATTTTCATCTAAAGCTTAAGTTGAAGTTGTCTCCTTCCTGCACTGCCTGGATCCCCCATGTGGTTCACGCTGCACCGACCTCCAGGCTGGGTTTGTACACAACCCATGATTTACGTCAGAGGTATCAAACACTCTGTCAGAGAGCTTCTTGTTGCCAAGAAAGGTTGAACCAGAGGACCCTTGAGGTCCCCTCCAACCTGCTCTTCTCTGCTTTTATGAGAACTAAAAATAAGCAGCAGCTCCCTGTTACAGACTGTGCTTAGTGGCAGAGTCTCCAGTTTTTATCCTCATCCTTTCTGAGTTGTTTTCAATGTGGATGGTCAGATATGGAGCTGTCACCTGCCTCCAAAGCCAATAGGATTTGTGTTTTTTAGGGAAAAAAAGTAATTCAGGAATATGCTTAGATTTGTTTACTGTAGAATGTGAGTTCTGCAATACAGTTTCCTGTCAAGGAGTTTGGTGAATGATTATCTTCCTGAGGGTGGGGAGGCCCTGGCACAGGTTGCCCAGAGAAGCTGTGGCTGCCCCATCCCTGGAAATGTTCGAAGCCTGGTTAGATGGGGCTTGGAGCACCCTGGGCTGGTGGAAGGTGTCCCTGCTCATGGCAGAACATTGAATAAGATGGTCTTTAGAGTCCCTTCTAACCCAAACTGTTCAGAGAATCCCAGAATCCCAGAATGTGCTGGGCTAGAAGGGACCCACAAGGACCATCCAGTCCAACCCTCAGCCCTGCCCAGCCCCATCCCCAAGAGTCCCCCCCTGTGCCCCAGAGGATCATCCAAAGCCTCCTGCAGCTCTGGCAGCCTTGGGGCTGTGCCCACTGCCCTGGGGAGCCTGTTCAGTGCCCAACCAGCCTGTGGGGGAAGAACCTTTTGCTGAGATCCACCCTGAGCCTGCCCTGACACAGCTCCAGCCATTCCCTGGGGGCTGTCCCTGCTCCCCCCAGAGCAGAGCTCAGTCCTGCCCCTCCTCTGCC